ACAGTATTCAGAGGAGATCTTTCACTGCATACCCTTTTCTAATTACTGACTATTTACTCATGTGAACATCATAATATTGCAGAAATACATTTGACTATTAAAATTAAAACTGAAACAAAGCTATTTTGAGAAAAAATTATCATGATTTGTTGATATAATGCATTCAAGAGGATGCGTAGTTGAGAAGAGAATTGAGGATGTTGTTAATATTTCTAACTTAGAATGTTGATTGAGTGATAACGCTTTAAAAAATGAGAAAAATGCAGAACCCCACCTTATACATGTTGAATTTTAAAAGTGAGATCTACACTCAGAGATACCTGTTCTGCATCTACAAGTAAGTGACTAGGGCTGGAGGACAAACTCAGGGTTGGCATAAACCTTAATATTTCATTGACTCTGAGACAGTATTCATTGTAAGACTCGGAGGGTTTAAAATATACAAAGTGTGTATCTGAGAATCATTGAAATATAAATAAGTGAAGACAAAAGGATTTTGTTAATCTTTCGTATACTGAATGCCAAAATGATATTTGCTTATACTCAACAAACAAGTATATTTCTTTACACATTGGTATTACACCAGTTACATAAATGGATAATGTCACCTTAAAATTTTAAGTTATATTTCCACATATTATACATGAAATATATTTTTCTAAGTATGTAAATAATAAGAACATTGTAGAAAATGCTCTTTAAAAGTATAAAAATATTAAAATGGCTTATAATTCCATCACCTAGAAATAGCCACTATTAATACATAAATAACTTTTCTTCCAGTCTTTTTTTTCTATAAATATAGATATGTGCATACTTTAGCTTTTTATACAAATGTTTTCTTTCTTTTTTTTAAAATTGATGTTTAACTGACATACAATATCATATTAGTTTCTGGGGTACAATTCAATATTCAATATTTGTGTATAATTGTGAAATAATCACAGTAAGTCTGATTAACATCCATCACCAAACACAGTTCCAAAATTTTTTTCTCGTGTTGAGAACTTTTAAGACCTACTTTCTTAGCAACTTTCAAATATGCAGGACAGTATTATTAACTATAGTCACTACGCTGTACATGACATTCCCATGACTTATTTATTTTATGCTGGAAGTTTGTACCTTTTGACCCCTTTCACCTATTTCACCCACCCCTTATCCCTGCCTCTAGCAACTACCAATCTGTTCCTGAATTTATGAGATTGGATTTTTGTTTCTCTCTCTCTTTTTTTTTTTCAGATACCACATATAATTGAGATCAAATGGTGTTTGTCTTTGTCTGACTTATTTCACTTAGTATAATGTCCATAAGGTCTATTTGTATTGTCACAAATGGCAAGATTTTATTCTTTTTTTTATCACTGAATAATATTCCAGTGTGTGTGTGTGTGTGTGTGTGTGTACATTACATCTTCTTTATCCATTCATCCATCAATGGACATAGGCTGTTTTTATACCATGGCCAATGTAAAAAATGCTGCTATACATGGGGGTTCATATATCAATGATACTGATACTGATATTCCTATATCAAGCCAGTGTGTTCATTTTCTTTGAATAAATACCCAGAAGTGGAATTGCTGGATCATATGATAGTTCTATTTTTAATTTTTTGAGAAACATTCATACTATTTTCCATTATAGCTGCACGAATTTACATTCCCACCAACAGTGCACAAAAGTCCCCTTTTTTCCACATTCTTGCCAATGCTTGTTATTTCTTCTCTTAGTTAATAGCCATTCTGTCAGGTGTGAGGTGAGAGCTCATTGTGGGGTCTTTTGTGTGTGTGTGTGTAGTTTTGAGTTGCATTTCCCTGATGATTAGTGATGCTGAGAATCTCTTCATGTACCTGCTGGCCTTCTGTGTGTCTTCTTTGGAAAAATATTTATATTCTCTGCCCATTTTTTAATTGGATTGAATTTAATTTTTTTGTTTGCTATTGAGTTGTATGAACTCTTTATTTATTTCAGATATTAACCTTTTATAAGATATATAATTCTCTCCCATTCAGTAGGTTGCCTTTTCACAAATGTTTCATTACTACCCAGTTTTTTCACCGAGCTTTATATCATGAACAAGTTCCCGTACCATTAAATACTCTTAAAAAATAGTTTTTTCATGGGTGAAAAATACAATCTGGATTTTCCATAATTATTTGATTATTCCCATTTGACATTGAGATTGTTTCTAATATTTCACTTAAAACATTTTTAAATATTTATCTTCATTTCTTGTAGTTTTCTTGGGCTAGGTTTTTTTTTAATTTTATTATGTTATGTTAATCACCATACATTACATCATTAGTTTTTGATGTAGTGTTCCATGATTCATTGTTTGCATATAACACCCAGTGCTCCATTCAATACGTGCCCTCTTTAATACCCATCACCAGGCTAACCCATCCCCCACCCCCCTCCCCTCTAGAACCCTCAGTTTGTTTCTGAGAGTCCATAGTCTCTCATGGTTCGTCTCCCCCTCCAATTCCCCCCCTTCATTTTACCCTTCCTACTATCTTCTTCTTTTTTTTTTAACATATAATGTATTATTTGTTTCAGAGGTACAGGTCTGTGATTCAACAGTCTTACACAATTCACAGTGCTCAGGGTTCCCCTTTCTCCATATCCCCGCCTACATCTGTCATTTCCTGACTTGTTAATTTTAGCCATTCTGACTGGTGTGGGGTGGTATCTCATTGAGGTTTTGATTTGGATTTCCCTGATGCTGAGCGATGTTGAGCACTTTTTCATGTGTCTGTTGGCCATTTGGATGTCTCCTTTGGAAAAATGTCTGTTCATATCTTCTGCCCATTTCTTGATTGGATTATTTGTGTTGTAGGTATAGTTTGATAAGTTCTTTATAGATTTTGGATACTAGCCCTTTATCTGATATGTCATTAGCAAATATCTTCTCCCATTCTGTCGGTTGTCTTTTGGTTTTATTGACTGTTTCTTTTGCTGTGCAAAAGCTTTTTACGCTCTTGGTGGAAATGCAAGCTGGGGCAGCCACTCTTGAAAACAGTATGGAGGTTCCTCAAAAAGTTGAAAATAGAGCTACCATACGACTCAGCAATTGCACTACTGGGTATTTACCCCAAAGATACAAATGTAGTGATCCAAAGGGGTACGTGCACCCTGATATTTATAGCAGCAATGTCCACAATAGCCAACTATGGAAAGAGCCAAGATATCCATCGACAGATGAATGGATAAAGAAGATTTTTTTTTTTTTAAAGAGGGAGGAAGAAGGGTAAGGGACTAGGGGAGAGGGAGAGAGAGAATCTTAAGCAGGCTCCACACCCAGCACAGAGCCTGACACAGGGCTCAATCTTGCAACGCTGAGATCATGACCTAAGCCAAAATCAAGAGTTGGATGCTTAATTGACTGAGTCACCCAGGTGCCCATGGGCTAGATTTTTATAAGTGAAATTATCCTTTGAAGATAATGAGGATTACAAGGCCTGATATGTATTACTTTTCTTAGTATGTATTCCTAGAAATGTGGTTACTAATGATGCGTGAAGATGTACATTGTACCATCACTTGATATTTTCTTTAAAATCTTCCCAGTATATATTTAGATTATTTATTATTAGAATTCTAATTGCAACAATCATATTGTTGTTATTCTTAGAATAAGTGTTCTTCTGTTCAATGGAATCCAAATATCTGAAGTATAGTAAATTATTAGCAATAATTTATTGGGCACCTGCCCTGAATAATGCTAGGTATTCATAATAAAGAATACAATGCATGATTCTTGACTTCTATTCACTCATAATTTCTTTTCTAGATATTTATTCTCTAGCCTATCTAAATTACATTAGAAACTTTATTTCCATTCCAAATGGGCCAGTGAAAATTATAAGCCACTAACTATAGCTACTACTTCCTAAAAAGCACATGCTTTTTCAGCATAAATTGTTAGAGAGAAATACAGTGGGATGGGGAAGGATGACTGTGTTATAACAGATCCTTCCATCTAATTACATATACAGGTGGCAAATGCATTATTAAAATAGTGCTTAGTGTCTTATATTAAAGTGAAAATTGTAATTAAAAAGTATGTTCTCTCCTGCTGTGAGTGCTTTACCATAGGGGTCTTGTCTATCCGGTGAATTTTAAAAGAACAATTAAAAAGTGATATTGTTCCTGTTTCAGTGAACTGCTCACATTTTTGGTGTACCAAATAAGTATTTTAACCTAACAAAGAAGATTCATAGCATGTTTTAAATATCCTGAGCATATTATTTATCATAAATGTCTGCTGTGACTTCTTCTCCAAGTGTTGAATTTAACGATAATCTTTGGTGACTATAATGTGATCTCTTAGTTTTTCAACCATATTTCATAATTTCATGAGAGCCTGAATTTATATTCTCAATCTTGAATATTTTCCCTGCTAGTTATATTCTATTTTTGAAGAAAGCCTCTGAGTGGTATATGAGAAAACTGTCTAAAATTTGATTGGCCAATAGATTTTTTCCCCTTTTTAATGTAGAATTCCTTGGTTCTAATTCTTCAAGATTCTTTTTTGAGAAAGAATCATATTACTGATAATAATAACTTGATCTCCTAATAATTATGGTTATTAAATGTTCATGTTTTGTCTTGCCTCCTTAATTTGATTAAAAACTACTTAGGGCAAGGAGCTGTGCTTTAGGCTTCTTTTTATTTTTCGTCAGATCCCAGCATAGAACATTAAAATAGTAGATGCTCACCCCACCATTTTTTGATTTGCTTGTAAAATTAAAAACTATGGATTATTACTTGTCATACATAAAAAACAATCAAAATATTTGTTCATTCTGATATTTTGTAAAGGGGAAATACCCATCGCTTTTCACTGTGGGGTTAAAAAATCTGAAAGAAAGTAAGCCTATGTTTGTGTGTTATCCTTCTATTTAGAACAGTTCTCTGTACAACAGAATCATTGTCACTGAATAATCACTCTTCTCATTTCCCTTTTCTTGTATGTTTTATTGCCATGTTATTTTCAGGGACTCCCGAAAGCCTAGCTGAAAAGGAGAGGCAGCTCATGGGTATGATCAATCAGCTGACCAGTCTGCGAGAGCAGCTCCTGGCTGCCCACGATGAGCAGAAGAAACTGGCTGCATCTCAGATTGAGAAACAGCGCCAGCAAATGGAGTTGGCCAAACAGCAACAAGAACAGGTGAGTAGGAGCCAGGGACACAATTTCCTTAAACATGGTTTTGCCTGCTATTTATAGGACACTCTCCTAGGCACACAAAGATCAATAAAAGTCTTTCTTCCCACCTCACGTAAATAAATAAACAAACAAAATACAAAAGAAGCAAACAAACAAAAACACTTTGATCTGAAAAAGCTTATCAACTACTTTAGTGGTTTGTAACATCGAAATAATTATAACCAAGGTGAAATTCTGATAGGTCATGAGAGAAGTACCAAACAGAATCATGGCGTGTCAAGAGAACATTTCCAGTCAGGGACACCGTGAAAGAATTCATTCAACAGGTGTTTGGTATGAGCTTTGAAGAATAAGTAGGATTTAACAAATGAAGTAAATTAATTATGGCCCAGGAAGTTTAGTTAGATGCCTATTATAATAACTTCAATAAGGAGTGAGAATCTAAACTAGATAGTTTAGAATCTAAACTAAATGACCACAGAAAAAGAGAAGAAAAGAATAAACAGGTGGGAAAATTATGATTAGTTGAATTCTTTGGGCAAAAGAATGAGGAAAGATGTTGAGCCTGGGTGATGGGTCAAGTCAGGAGGGCAAATTTGGAATAACAGGTGGTTTTATTGTGTTTAATTAGAGCTCTTGTCAGGTTGTCCAGCTGGAGGTACGTAAAAAACAGCTAGAAATACCAATCGACGGTTTGGAAAAGAGGGCTGAACTAAATTTCTTAGTTTATTTACATAGAGATGGTGGTTTAAACCACTGGGGTAGATAAGTTTCATTCATTTATTCAACAAATAATAATCAAGTGCTTCTTATGTGCCAGGCACTGTGCTAACTTCTGAGGCTTCATCAATTAACCAGTAAGATAGAGCCCCTAAATTCTAGTGGAAATAGAGAGATGATTAACAAAGGAAAAGAGAAATTTACAAAATGATTTTAGACAGTGATAAGTTATTTGATGAAATGTAATTAGAGTTATTTAATAAATATTGATTGGTATGGCAAAGCAATGTTTCTTAGATTGGGTGGTTGGACCTGGCAATTGAACTCAGATCTAAATGACATACAAGAGGCAGCCATATTAATATCTGGGGCCAGAGTGTTTCATGAGGGAATGGTAGGTTTGTAAGCCCTACATTAGAATATGGTGATATCATTAGAAAATGGAAAGGGACTAAGGGTAGATCCTTGGGAGATACTGGCATATAGCTGGTAAATAAAAGAAAATGAACAGTTCCAGAAGAACAAAGCTACTAGATTTGTCATTTAGTTTCTCACTGTTGGCCTTTTAAGACTCTGGCTTCTCTGGAGCTTTAGTAGTAGAAATAAGGCATAAGAATTGACAAATGTGTAGTAGGAAAATGGAGGCCATGTATAAGAACTATTACTTAAAATTGGTAGCAAAGGGAAGGGAAGAAAGAGGGTGCCATAGGGTGAATTTATATACAGACATGATACATCTCTTCTGGGGCTAACTCCCTTTTGCCATCCCATATTCTGGGCTCTGTCCATTCACCATCCCAAATGGAAGAAGACCATTGTTTAGTCAGGGGTAAGTGTCCACACATCCCTGCAAAACCTTAACAATTTTCAAAATGTAAGCTAGCAAAGTTGAAAGAAGAAATACTCAGATTACATTTGCAGTGACCCCCTTTCAGTTTACTCCTCCCTACTTGGTGGTTCATCTCTGCTTGAAAGATGATGCTTTCATGTTTAATGAAATACTTCATCGTTTTCCTTAAAGATATATTTGACCTGTTCTTGAATATGGCCCATATTTCTCTTGCTTTACCGCCATGATAAGCGTTCAGAATGCTCATCTGTGACAGTCTTGAAAAACGCTACTCTTTTCTTGTTCATAATTCTCAATGCTTTCAAACATCTGAATTCTAGAAAATTCTAGGTGCTTCTGAAACTGTAGGTCAGATGGGGATATTTCTTTGTAGAGAATCACTACTTTGGTGGGTCTAAGGGCATATTTGTCCTGAAAACTCGGAGCAATCACTAATAGAGAGCAAAGTCCTCTTCTCTTTCACATTCTGGCCCATCCCCACATATCATCAAAGGATTCTAGAATTTTTTACTTTTTCTGACATTATCCTTGGAATTTTAGAAATCATTAGGTTCTTCCAGAATTTCTCTCCTGTGTTGGAAAGATGCTAAGCAATGATGCCTACAAAGCCTGAGAGAAGATCCTTTGTGAAAGCTTCAGGTTAGGTTTCTAGAGCCTATTTTACTCCCCTAGATCTTCTCTACCATGCAGTGCTGGCATGCGTAATCACTACTCTTGTAGTCACTGATCTTTTCATCAGGACACAGGAAAATCTCTGAAGGGCATTTAATACTTATTCCTTAAGATTCAGGTTAGGTGTATCTTCTCTTGAGAACTCCTTTTCTGACCCTCCTCCTAAAACTCCCTACTCATTGTAGGGTGTCCCTACTCTGGGCACTCTAATATTCCTATTATAGCCCTTAGAGATGCTAATGAATCTGTTCATTGACCAGCCTTTCCACTGGACTCTGAGCTCCATTCTACATTTTTTCATTCAATAAATATCTATTGAGCACCAATTTGATGCCACGTTCTATTCTAGTTACTGGGATACAGCAAAGAATAAAACAGACAAAAATTCCTAATGTATTGAATTCTCATTAGGAAAAGATAGTAAACAAACAAGATGTTGATAAGGGATATAAATAAAGGAGAGAATTAGGGATGAGGGTGCCAGGTAGAGAGAGAGGCTCTTTTAAAATGGGTGCTCAGGGAAGACCTCATTGACAGAGGGATATTTGAGCAGAGACTTGCAGGAGGTGAGGGAGTGAGCAGTCAGTTATCTAGGCATAGAGGGTTCCAGATGGAGGGGGAAGCAAGTGCAGAGGCCCAGAAGCAGGTACATCCTTGGGAGATAGGAGCATCCTTAGCATCTTCAAGAGACAGGAGAGGAGAGTGGCAAGAGTGGAGTAACAAAGGGAGACAGAGGAGAAGGTGAAACCAGAGAGGTAGCAGGAGGCGAAATCATACAGTGTCGTGCAGGCATCATATGGACACTGCCTTCTGCTCTGAGTGAGACAGAGGGTTTTAAAAATACGAGTAACATGACACAACTTATATTTTAAAAGGATCTTTCAAGGGCACCTGGGTGGCTCAGTGGTTAAACGTCTGCCTTCGGCTCAGGTCATGGTCCCAGGGTCCTGGGATCGAGCCCCACATCGGGCTCCCTGCTCAGCGGGAAGCCTGCTTCTCCCTCTCCCACTCTCCCTGCTTGTGTTCCCTCTCTTGCTTTCTCTCTCTCTCTCTGTTAACAAATAAATAAAATCTTTAAAAAAAATAAAAAATAATAATAAAAGGATCTTTCTAGATACTGGCATATTATAGGTTGTAGGGAGCAAAGGCAGAAGCAGAAAGAGCAATAAGAGACTATTACAATAACCCAGCAAGAGAGAACAGTGGCTTGGAACGGGAGGAAGTGTGGAGGGGTGTGAGGTGGTCAGTTTCTTGATAAATGCTTAAGTGCTGATAAAAAGATTTATCAGCTGAAATATTGACATGTGGGAGGAAAGGACCAGATTTAAGGAAAAGAGTGATATTCCTTTTCCTACCATCTACCTTTCTTCAGGGAAAAAAAAATGGATTTTTTAAACCCTGTCCCTAAGATAAAATGAAAGCATGAAAATAACCATAATTGAATTTAGTTTTGAACTTGTTGAATATGAAGTACCTTTGAGAATGTCATTGGAAAAATGGGTCTGAAACTGAAAGCAAAGGCAGAAGTGAGAGAAACAAATTCATAAGTACTTGGCATACATTCAGGAGTAGGGATACAACTACGACATTGAATGGCTAGACAGAGCAGTTGAAGGTAACTGAGAAGGAACAGACTGAGGGTAGAGCAAAACCAGGAAAATGTTCTGTCATGGAAGCCAAGGAAGAAAGTTCAGGATCAAGGGAGAGAACTTGAGTGTTGAATTTTGATGAAAGGACAAAAGGTGAAATCTAAAAAACACATTAGAATTGAAAAAATGAGGGGTGCCTGGGTGGCTCAGTCATTTAAGCCTTTGACTCTTGATTTCGGCTCAGGTCATGATCTCAGGGTCTTGAGATCAAGCCCTGTGTCGGGCTCCATGCTCTCCCTCTCACTCCCCCCTCACTCTCCCCCCCAAAATAAACAAATAAACCTTAAAAAAATATTTTAAAAATGAGATCGGCGACTTCTTTACGAATCATTTTAGTGGAGAATGGGAGCCGAAACCGTGATGGAGTGCACTGAGGAGTTGGCTGTTCAGGGGTTTGTGGGAGGCAGAAATGAGGGCAGTATTTACGAAAAAACAAAAACAAATACTGAAACCTCAGTGAGGAATACAGCCTCCACAATGCAAACTCCCAGGGTAGCAACAGGGTACCCTGTTGATGCAATAGTTTCTTTTGTAGAAAAGAGATAAAAATGCCAGAGGCCGTACCTTCTTAACGTATTGCCAGGAAGGAAGAGGGATTTCTGACACTCTACCGTTTCATACTGGATTGGATCACTGTTGGAGTGTCTTAGGCTTCATTTGTTTTAGGCCAAAAGAAACTGTTCCGAAAACTAAATATCTTGTTTGATCCTACTTACGGATGAATTGCTGGTACTGTAGGGGCACAGGCACATCTATTTTCATCATCTTAATCAGTGTCAAATCAAACCTGGAGCAACAGAACATTGGTAATATACCCCTGGGACGACAATATACTTTTAAATTTTTCATGTGCAATTTCTCCACAGATTGCAAGACAACAGCAGCAGCTTCTGCAGCAACAACACAAAATCAATTTGCTTCAGCAACAGATCCAGGTCAGAAATCATCATTTCATGCATACTTCCAATTAAAAAAATATCTATCTATCTATCTATCTATCTATCATCTATCTATCTCTAGTCTAATTTTTAGATGAGCTAACTGGAATAACCTCCAAAATAAGAATTATTTTCGGCTTACTTAACTCCTGCCATATTTCCACCTATGCCATGAGAATCTTGCAAATGGTGACTGGCGCGGGCCCCTACTGTCAGGGAGCTTCGATCTGAGCAAGCTGACAGTCATTTTCATCCTATGCAAAAGGAAATTATTGCCCAGAAACGCTAGGAAGGTTTCATTTTCTCTTTCTTTAATGTTTAAAATGTGACCGTGAGTGTTCTCAATGAGGGATGTGCAGGGGAACCAAAGCAAAAAGGTACAGCAAGTTTTGTTAGAGAGCCGTGGCAGAGAGGACATTTTTACTGTATGCTCAAGAGCCACGTGTCAAAAGGGTTGAGGTTAGGGAAGATAATGATTTGGTGTTCAAGTAGAATTTCACCCTTCATGTTGCCTGGAGAGACCAAGAGTGAGGGCTCCATAACCTGCATCTTTTGCTTAAATGGAAATGTGTGATGATGAGAAGCATCAATGAAGATGGAAGAAAGCAGCTATGTTGATAATAAAAGGAAAAAGTGGGTTTTCAGGGTTGTCCTGTCTTCACTACTTGCTGGGGCATGAATTTTGACAAAAATTTTTCCCCTTCTGAAAATTCCCTTTCCGAAAGTACCTATTTCATAAGAAATTTATGAGGACTTAATGAAATCATGGATGGAGTATCAAGGCACACAGTAGGTGCTCAATACATACTTGCTATTGCCAGCAAGAAAAGGAATCCAATTCATGGAGCTATGAATCCACCCTCTGCAACATCGTCTTCTGGAAGCAGATGTTAGAGAGGAAAAATTCATCATTCTTTTGAAATTCTATCTTGAGAATCCAGCATATTTTTTCAGTCTAAATATCATAAATGACAGAAGCAAACATGTCTACATTATTTCATTTGTGTATTTAATCATGTTTAGACTTCATTGCCAGCAAAGTTTATCCCATTTTACCTAATTGGGTCAGGTATACTTAATTTCTTTACCCTGGATTATATAGCCCAATCAGGGTTTGCTCATTCTTGGTCCACCTGACATTTTAGTGAGCTAGTCATAGCTTCAGGGAGACAGAGAAACATCAGTGAGATGACCCAACCAGGATTCTTTGCTCTCCTTAACTGTAATTATGAGCAGCAAATCCTAATGTGATGTTAACCATCTGTTCATATCTGGAATGTGGTTTATTAAATTTAGTGGTTTAAAACTGTTCATTGGGGGGGTGCCTGGGTGGCTCAGTCAGTTGAGCTTTGGACTCTTGATCTCCGCTCAGGTGTTGATCTCACCGTTGTGAGTTTGAGCCCTTGTTGGGCTCCATGCTAGGCGTGGAACCTACTTAAAAAAAAAAAATACAAAAAATTGTTTGTTCGATTTCATGTTCAGTCTAAATATGCTAACTTTGAATATAGTTTTAATTGATGGTACCAGGTTATCTACATTTAAAATGTTTTTAATTGAAAATCTAAGATAATAAAGCAGTTATGAAATGTTTCAAGCAAAAATTAAGTACTGAGCAAGACTGACAATCTGAAAGGAATTCATTTACACAGCTTTTAATGTATTTATTAACTAAAAGCATACTTCTAAAGTCTATTTTATAAATTGTTGATTTGGGACAGTCTTACAAATACTTAATAGTGATGAAAGTCACAATATATTTAAATTAGTCTATTGAGAGATTGTTCAGTTATGGGAAGGACCGCTATAGGGGCATGTGTAGAGAAAGAAGATTAAAAATGTGGAACAGATCCCTTTTTTTGCTCATGTAAATCCTTGCCACATTTCTTTTTGAGAATGTTTTCTCTCCCTTTTCTTCTTTCCCCTTCCTCCTTTTCCTTGGCAGCATCTGACAAGGAAGAAGAAGGGTAAAAATCAAATCTGCTATTGTGGAAGGCAAATCAGATTCACAACAAATAGTATTATAAAACTTATTTTTGTCAATGCACACATAATCAGTGCTTACATGAGAATTTACAATAGAATAAATTTACTTGATATCTGCAAATATTTACATAGTATATTTTGAATTGATCTACTTCCTTTATCTTTCTTAAATATGGAGCTAAAGACCTTGTAGAAATAAACACACCAACTTACATTGTTCATCCTGATTGCATTTTCTTACATGTTTTATACCATTGTCTCTTTGAGCTTTAGAAAACAATGCATTCCAGTTTCTTTATCGGTAGAATAGTGGGCTGCAATGTTATTCGACCCACAATTAAGGCTGCCTTTAAGCTTTTGGTTTCAATTATAAATACACGCTTGCCCCAAACACTGGTAAAGGCATGCAAAGCATTAGATGGGTAGACAGATCTGCTAGATGGATTAGATTGACAGGGTAAGAGAGCAGGACAAATTTTCACACTTGATGGCTGTGTTAAATGACAAGAGGATGATGTTCCCCAACATTTCTCTCATTCTTTTACTGAGTTCTCTTTAAAGGAGAGGTTAATTTAGACATCTTTATTACATTTGAAGTATGTGTCATTCGATTAAAAAAAAAAGTGTATGAACAAGTTTGTGTATGCACAAACATCCACATATTCTAATGATCCAAGTTACTTAAAATTTCTCTTGGCCTATTATTTCTATCTTCTTTCAACTCCAGATGAAAAAGTGGTAGTAGGTTTTACTCTCTAGTTATATATTCAAAGAGAAAATGCCATAAGAATTAGCAAATTCACCAATTTTATTCAATCACTTAGGATCAATTCTATATGAACAGTTTTTCTCTCTTTAGAAATGCAACCTTAGCTCTAATTGCATGATTCTAATTGGATTGAGAACTCGATCTACATTACTTCCTTGCAAAGACTTTATGTAGAGTTATAGTCTTCTAGGTTGATTCACGTAACTCATTAGATTAAAAGAAGAAACAAAGTTTTCTGTTATTCTTTCTAACATCATAAATCAGTTCATTTTACAAATAAAATCATGTCATAATACCAGAAAATATCTCATCTTCCCACAAGAACTTGTCTGTTTCTTTATGAGACTCTCAATTTTAGCAACACTAAGAAGTTCAACTTCTTTTTCTCCCATTCAGCAGTGTTTTCCTTTAATATTTTTCTTTATTGTCCTTAAAAAAGTAGGATATTTTTGCATTCCTGCTTACTGTACCTAGCTAACTCTTAATGCACATTAATATGTGAGATGAAATTAATAGATATTTCAGAGAAAAATATCTACATTTTTTAAAAAATAACCTTTTTTTTCTTTAAATCTTTTGCTTATGCTACATTGCCCATCTTTTAGCAATTTTATTTTCTGACTAATCTGTTTTTTACATTAAATCAACCTGTTTCTAATAGGGATAGCTAGGTGGTGGTTTATGTTTCCAATAATGATCCTAAACCAATGGTTCTTCTTGACCTCATTCACTGTTACTAAATCCTTTTAAAGTAAATGAATGAGTGACCTCTACTCAGCTTCCATTATGGCAACAAACTGAATGTCCCTGGAGACTCAAGTTCCTTTTATCTTGAAGCTTTGTATGGGACAGGGTTTCTATAGCTTTGGGAGTGAGAGGGGGAAGCATGTCCTAGTTTAATTTTTTTTTTACCTTTTTTCAATAATACTTAATGGAATTTTGGGTTCTTATTAGCATCTTCTAATAGGGTCAGTCCAATAACATGCTCTAGTATGAAATCCACTTCAGATATTTTTAAGGGAAATATTAAAGATGTTTTACTTCTTTTAAAATGTGTATTTGTCAGGATTCCCACACTGAAAGTTCAGTGTTTGAATTTTCCTAAGAGATTCCACAAGTCTGTTGCGTTTTCCCTTCTGACAAATTGTTTCAATTGTTTGTTGTTCATTATGTTCTCTTGGGGGCAAAGATTTGGTACTTAACAATCACCTGTCATTGTTTCCAATTCATAAGGTATACATTTGCAGGACTAGTAGTAGCTTTGGGTCACTGATTCTGTCTAGAGCTAAGGGTAGAGCAAAGGACAAATCTCTGTTCCTTTGTATTCTTAACTGGCCATTGTGTATTCCATGGTATATAGGGAAGAGCTTGGCTCTTCAGGTGGTATAGGACTATATTTAACTGTATGAAATACAATTTTAACTGTATTAAATGATTAAAAATAAAGATAGAGAGCAGGTTCTCTGGAATTAGACATACCTGAATTCAGTCTCTGCATGTTCACACATCATTTGCTGTGTGATCTTAGGAAAATTGCTTAATCCCTCTGGTTTCATTATTCCCATCTATTAAATGGGAATTATAATAACTGACACTGGCTTAGTTTGAGGATTAAATGGAATCATACCTGACATGTAGTGAGGACACAATGCTGAAAATTTTTGCCTAGGTCATTAGGAGAGAAAAACTTGTTCCTTCTGTATTTCTGATGACAAACAATTTAATGAGTATTTCCAGCAAGAGGAGAATTTCTAGGAAAAAAAGAATATAATATACATGGCAGTAGTCACTGAACACTGTAAGTTCAGTGTTCCAACAATTCATATGATTTTAGAACTACAAGAGATTTTTAGAAAGCCTTTATTTAGACCTATCTCTCATTTTGACATTTGTAAACTGAAACCAGGTAAGGTTAGAAGATTTTCCCAATGTCATCGAAGTTTTTACTTGTAGAACAATGGCTGGATTCCAAGTTTCTCCCAAGTCTTGGCCCAGTTCATTTTTATTTCACCGACATTCTACCATTTAAGGCTTAATGGCCCAAAGTTTTAAAATGAGTTTTCTTTCCTGGGAACTTATTCCAACAAAATAAAAATACAACTTGACTTATGTACAATTGAATGATTAAGTTGCAGTCATGGGCTCAACCAATTTGTGATAAAGGTTTCATTTTATTGGAGCCAAAGTTCTCTGAGCTCATTAAGAGTTTTGGTAATTCTTGATAAATTATTATGCAGAACAAAAT